GGCCATCAGGCACTCAGGCAGGCGAGCGGTTAGGATCCATCAGTCCTGGATTGTGAGAGGGATGTCATGCATCCCCCAAGGGGTCCCAGATTGCAGAGGGTGCAGGCCAGTCTGAGGGACACCCCCCCACACACACACGAATTTCGTGTACCAGGCCACTAGTCTATATATATAAAAGCCTAAGTGACCGTTATGACTGAATGACTGGAACGACAGGTTGACCAGTCACTATGATGCACACTGACCACCAGGGGTCAGACACTCAATGCAGGAGCTACCCCCGGTGGTCAGTGTGCTCCCATAGGGGGAGCGCTGCTCAGCCAGAAGCCAGGCTCATGGCTGGCCAGCACAGCTGCAGCGGTGGGAGCCTCTCCCGACTCCACGGCCTCTCCCAACTCCGCAGCAGAGCAGCAGGCACAGCGGGTCAGGATGAACACAAGCAGCATAGTGCCGGCTCAGGCTCCTCCCTGGCCGCCTGCCGCTTGGCACACTGCTACACCCCTTGGGGGATGTCTGACTGCCGGTTTAGGCCTGGCCTGTGGGGATCGAGCCTAAATCGGCAGTTGGACATCCCCAAGGATCCTAGATTAAGATAGGGCACAGGCTAGGCTGAGGGAACCCGCCCCCCCCAATACACGAATCTGTGCACTGAGCCTCTAGTGACTTTTTAAAAGACAAATGGAACCTAAGTAGCCTTTATCATAGTATAACTGGTTTTTCAGACCACTTCCTCTAACTTATTCAAGTTTCCTAGAAACTACACACAGGCTAAAGAAGACTAAATGGGTGTAGGATTTTCACTACAATTACTAGAAACTCTCTCTAATTTCTATGTTTATTGAAAATATATAGTACTTCTTTCTTTCTTTACTTTCCAACAGTATTAACTGCAGCTTTTTTATTGATTCAAGCTTAGTAACATTTATTCCCAATATCATTCCAGTTTTCATTCACTAGTTGCCACAATGTGTGTGTGTGTCTGTGTGTGTGTGTGTGTGTGTGTGTGTGTGTGTGTGTGTAAAAGAGAGCGAGAGAGAGAGAGAGAGTTTTAAAGTGCAATTCATTATACTCCACACACTAAGATCACATTTGCCTTCACAGAAAAAGTGGGTTCTTGCTTCCTATTACAGTAAGCTTCAAGTTCTCTGGCTGACCTATAAGTGGCTGTAAGTCATAAAAAATTTTTAAAATATAGATGGTTTTATCTGTGTATTTATAGAGTAGATTCTCAATAGCCTTTCTTCTTTGAGGCACTAATAGAGAATTCAAATGGTTTTCAATCCTGATTACATTGTTAAAAAATAATTGAGGTTGTAATAACAGTCATAACTATTATTTTTTGAGCACTTACTCTGCACCAGGCACTATGCTAAGCACTTTTCAAGCTTAATAACAACCTGTGAAATTGATAGTATTATCACTCTCATCTTATAGGTGGCAAAACTGAGACTGTGAGAGGTTTAAGCAAGTTGCTGAGGTCACTCAGTCTATAAGGGGGAACTATGGTTCAAATCCTGATCTCTGACCCCACAGTCCACACATAATATAGTTATTAGTTAACAACCCTCCCCAGTGGCAATATCTGAAAATAGCTACTCCAATGATGACCACTATAAAAAATAAACAGAAAATAATGTGGGTTGGCAAAGACATGAAAAAATTGGAACCTTTGTGCACTGTTGGGGGAGAATGTAAAATGGTGTAGCAGCTATGGAAAACAGCATGGTGATTCCTCAAAAATTAAAAATGGAACTATCATATGATCCAGCAGTTTCATTTTTGTATATATACCCAGAAAAAATTGACATCAAGGTCTCAAACAGATATATTAATACACCCATGTTTATAGCAGCATTATTCACAATAACACAAAGGTGGAAGCAACCCAAGTGTCCATCAACGGATGAATGAGTAAACTAAATGTGGTATATATATTAAAAGACAAATGGAACCTAATTAGCATTTATCACAGTATAATTCCCTCCTGTGAGGTAGCACATCATGTCCCCTGCTACACCACAGATGAACCCTGAAGACATTATGCTAAATGAAATAAACTAGTTACACAAAGACAAATATTGCATGATTCCACAAACATAAGGCACCTGCAGTAGCTAAATACATAAAAAGAGAAAGTTCAATAGCAGTTACAGGGTGAGGAGAGAGAAAAAGAAAGCTATTGTTTAATGGGCATAGAATTTCAATTTTGCAAGATAAAGAGTTCTGGAGATGGATGGTATGCAATATGAATATACTAACACCACTGAACTGTATACTTAAATATAATCAAGTTGGTAGATTTTATGGTATGTATATTTTACCACAATTTTTTTTTTAAAAAGCTACTTTGGCTATTGTAACTCCCTGGCACAGACCTTGAAAAGTTTGGAAATTCCCCAGTCATTGAGGTACGTCTCTCTGCTTGGCCCCAAAAGACAATAACCCAGTCTAAAATGTCCCTTTTGTGTGTCTCTGGATGCCGGAGTCCATTGTCTTCACTAGCTGAGTTTAGACAGAGACCCCCCAAAAGCTAGTAGCCCTTGAAAGTCCTAGCAAAGGTCAGGGCTGTGCACCACCCAGTTAATTAAGACGCCACCCCGTTAATCTAGCTAAAGCATCATTCCCACCTTAGTTCACTTAATTCCTTAGATACTTGTGTAGATCCTTGTTGATTATTGTTGATCAGATACTCTGCCTATTCCTGGAAATCATCTACTGATGAGCTAATCAGATACTTTGTCTATTCCTGGAAATTGTCTGCTGATCTGTGTGTCATTGAAACCTCCTTACCTAAGGCTACCCCGACCTCAATAAAAGATCGGAGTGGCCTGAGCTTAGGTGGAAGTCCCTCTCCTTGAGTTGGACTTGCCCGCCTGGTCCCCCGATATTGCAAAATTATCTCGTGTCTTTTTCTCTCATTTGTTGTGCCAGATACTGAACCCTACTCCATGCGGGACGTGGAGGGAGTCCTACTCGACGCTGGGCTTCCAGCCTGTCTTGTGAGTTAAAGGCATAAGGGTTACATGGGTAAAGCAGACACGGCTCTGCCCTGAGAGGGGCATGGTCGATGCGGGAGATGGGCACGTAGGCACTGAATGCCTTCTCAAGGGTGTCCCTTACCTGGGAAAACATGATCTCTCCCCTCATGAGACGGAAACTGGAACTATCCGGGTCTCCTTTCTTGAAAACTTCATTGAGAAAGCCTCTGAAAGACACATGTCATAAATGTCCAAGGACTTCATCACAGTGGCAAATGGGGACAGACACTGTTTAGATCTGTGGGAGGCAGTTAGACAGACATGAGCAGAGCAAGGATGATGGGCCTGGAGCTGAAATACACCTGACGCCTAGATGTATTTACTGAGGGTCAGAACCTCAATGTCCTGGGGGCTTAATGCTTAAGGGCTATTCTCTGGCCCCCCTGTTCATTCCCTCTCTAGGTGGTGGTGGGGGGGGGGGTCTAACCCACATGACTAGCAACATGCCAGGGGAGGAAAGGTCAAAGGAGGGTCCGAACACATGACCAGCAATACGAAAGGTCAGGGGGTCTAAACCTCATGACCAGCCATATGCTACGGGAGGAAAGGCTACCCTGAGGGCAAAGTCCTGATTTTCCCAGTTTTTCCCATTGCTAGGCACCTGGGGCTTTCCACCCTGGTGACCTTCTGTACATGGTTGTTGTCCTTGCTCTGCTCATGTCTGTCTAACTGCCCACCACAATGTAGATGTAATGAACAGTATGGTTAAGAGTTGCTAAAAGAGACAAACCTTAAAACTCCTCATCAAAAGAAAATAGTTATAAATAAAATACTGATTTTAGTTTTCAATAAAATTGGAAATTTAGCAATCATGTTTTGTTGTAGTAAAACATACATGACATAAAACTGACCATTTTAACCACTTTAAAAAATATATATTTTTTTTATTGATTTCAGAGAGGAAGAGAAAGGGAAATATCAATGAGGAGAGAGAATCATTGATCAGCTGCCTCCTGCATGACCCCAGTAGGGTCCAGCCCACAACCCGACCATGTGATGTGACTGGGAATTGAACTTGACATCCTAGTTCATAGGTCGATGCTCAACCACTGAGCCACACTGTCCAGGCACATTTTAACCACCTTTTTAAGTGTACAGCTCTGGCATTAAGTAATACATCCGCATTGTTGTGCAACCATCACCACCATCTATCTCCAGAACTTTTTCATCTTCACATCTTTGCCAACCTGAAACTCTGTACACATTAAACCATAACTCTCCATTCCCTCTCCAGTAATAATTTTAAATCAGATTACATTGCATATATTTCGTAACCTCCTCAGGCTCCCACAAATCATTAACTATATATGAAATGCAATCTCACACTATTAACTACAATAATCTGTTAGTGACTTTCACACAACTGAACAATTGAAACTTACCATTATATCTAAAACTCATTACCTGTCCCCCAAAGGGATTCTTTACATATTGAATCCATACATTCATAGCTGATAATGTATTGGGCAGAGCAGATGAAAGCAGCAGATCTGTCCTATGATAAACTGAAGGCAAAGTAATTTGCCCTCCTTGGGGAATGTTTTGGTAAGAGTGAGTGGGGGAGGCTGGAAAGAAGGAAAGCTAAACAGACCTGGGTGTGGCAGTGTGGGGCAGAAGACGAGTGTTGTTTCCACCCCAACTGGCCAACAACAGGTGAGTGTACTGCAATTCAATGCTGCCAAGAGTCAGCACAGACCTGTGGACAAAAAGGGGCCACATACTAAACCTGACAAGCTCAGGGGAGGCCTGGGTGGTGGCCTTACAAACTCAGACACCTAAAATAGCCACATAGGATGGTCTGAAATTTAAAACTTTTTAACCAAAAGCAGTGCATGGTCTATATGACAAACCTACAGCCAACATCATACTCAATGGGAAAACACTAAAAGCATTTTCCTTAAGGTCAGAAACAAGACAAGGATGTTAGCTTTCACCACTCTTTCCACTGGAAGTCCTAGCCACAGAGATCAGACATGAAGAAGAAATAAAAAGGCATCCAAATTGGAATGGAGGAAGTAAAACTGTAATTATTCACAAATGATATGATATTATACATAGAAAACCCTAAAGACTCCAAAAAAACAACAACACCCTGTTATATATAATAAATAAATTCGCAAAGTAGCAGGATACAAAATTAACACCTGGAAATCAATGGCATTTTTATACACCAATAATGAACCCTCAGAAAGAGAAACTAAAAAAAAATCCCATTTACCATTGCAACAACAACAATAAAAAATATCGAGGAATAAAGTTAACCAAGGAGGTAAAAGACCTGTACTTGGAAAACTGTAGAACATTCAAAAAGGAAATAGAGGAAGACACAAAAAAGTGGAAGTGTACCATGTTCATGGATAAGAAAAATTAACATAACTAAAATGTCCAAACTACCCAGAACAATCTACAGATTCAACACAAACCCTATTAAAATACCACTGGCATATTTCACAGATCTACAACAAATACTCCAAAAATTTATATGGAACCAAAAAGAACCTGAATAGCAATCTTGAGAAAGAAGAACAAAGATGGAGGGATCACAATACCAGATAGCAAACTATACTACAAAGCCATTGTAATCAAAACAGCTTGGTATTGGCACAAGAATAGGCATATAGGTCAATGGAACAGAACAGAGACCCCAGAAATCAGCCTGGGGTTGCGGGCTCGATTCCCAGTGGGAGGCGTGCAGAAGGCAACCGATCGATGATTCTCTCTCATCATTAATGTTTCTGTCTCTCTCTCCCTCTCCTTTCCTCTCTGAAATCAATAAAAAATATATATATATTTTAAAAATGAGCTGCTATATTTGGTCAAACATTTAATTAACTTACCCCTAATGCCTTGGCAGGGCCAGACCAAATGATTTCACGGGTCTTATACAGCCTGTGGGCCAGACATTCCCCACCCCCGAGTTAAAATGACTAAAATGCAGTTTTCTTTGGACGCCTAAATTAATTTTCTCACATGCAAAATTAGAAAAATGCTGGCTCTAAAATTAAACTGAATGGCCCTGGCCAGTTTTCTCAGTGGTTAGAGCTTTAGCCCATGGACAAAGGGTCGCGGGTTTAAATCCTGGTCAAGGGGCAAATATTTCGGTTGCAAGTTCAATCCCCAGCCCTGGTTGGGCCCATTTGGGAGGCAACCAGTCAATGTGTCTCTCTCACAAAGATGTTTCTCTCTCTCTTCCCTCTCCCTCTCTCCTCCCTCCCTTCAAATCTCTCTCTAAAGATCAATGAAAAAAATACCCTCAAGTGAGGATTAAAATAATAATAATAATAATAATTAAACGGAGTGAATGGGAAACATATCTTGATTCGGAAATTAGAAACTTCTAAGAGGAGCATGGATAAATTCTTTTTTTTTTTTTAAAGGAAGAAAATAAATTAATAAGAAATTTTAGAAACTGTCTCTGAACTAAAAAAGGCTTCTGAAGCCAATACCCCATTCCTCCCCTTCTACAGCTCCTCCACTATACTTGCTCTCTGAGCTCCCTCCCTTGTCCTGACTTGCACTCCTTCTCCCTTGTTCCTTCCCCTTCTCTCCATATCTCCTCCACTACCACTCCCTATGGACCTAAGGCAGTGGTTCTCAACCTTCTGGCCCTTTAAATACAGTTCCTCACATTGTAACCCAACCATAAAATTATTTTCGTTGCTACTTCATAACTGTAATGTTGCTACTGTTATGAATCATAATGTAAATATCTGATATGCAGGATGGTCTTAGGCGACCCCTGTGAAAGGGTTGTTCGACTGCCAAAGGGGTCGCGACCCACAGGTTGAGAACCGCTGAGTCCTAAGGGAACATAAAAATAGGAATTCAGACAAGGATAGCCCAAGGATTCTAGCAGCTCCCTTTGAAGAATAGCTGGTCTCGGGCAGAGAGAAACCAGAAATTGTTCCCCTATTTTCTCCGAGACCCTGATGGGTTCGCAAAGAAACCTGATTAAACTGTTAGAACATGTAACCCTGGCCATTCTAACCTATATTAGTTGATATACCTACTGGCTTCTGGGAGCAAAAGCCACAGAATGACTAAGTAAGTTCACAGGAAAGCTCCTGCAGAGAGGCCTGTCCACCTTGAAGACCATCGGAAACTGACATGGGATTTAGAAAAACACACAAAAACAGAAGCAATCAGAGGGCTCCTGAGGACTATGACCAGGCATTTCCCCTTCTCTTTACTAATAGTTTAGGAGAAATTAAAATTACTATTAAAAAAGAGGAGAAGAGGAGAAATTACTAAAGCCCTTGAAATACTGGAGCTACTTTACCTGTTCTTGACCACACCTAACTAAGCCGGAGGAAAGCTTCTGTGCACTTTATAGGGAGATCTAATCATACTAACTGGGAAAATAATGATTTCAAAGCAAACCTCCCTCCACAAGAGGAACTGAACGTTCATTACAGGATGTTCCAATGCAACTTCAGGCCTTTTCCAATCACCAATATCCTTTATGCACAAACTGGAATTAAGCCCAGTACAGAAGATTACTTTTAAAAAGTGCCTTATAATTCCATGCACAAGCCCCTGTAGTTCTCCTATCCTTCCAGTAAAGAAACCAAATGGAAAAAGGTGGAGATGCATATGAGCTCTCAGAGCTATAAATAAGATAGTTATTCCCAGATATCCTGTGGTTCCAAATCCATATACCTTATTATCAGCCATTTCTGGAGATTGCCAATATTTTTTAGTAACAGATTTATATAGTGCCTTTTTCAGTATTCCAGTAGAAAAAGACAGTTAACACCTCTTTGCTTTCACCTGGGAAGACTACAAGTTTACTTGAATAGTAATGCCCCAGGGATATACAAAGAGTGCTACTGCGGACAAAAGGGGCCACCTGCTAACCTGACAAGCTCATGGCAGTCTTGCAAACTCAGAGACCTAAAAAGTAGCCACAAAGGATGGTCTGAAATTAAACTTTAACTAAAAGCAGTTATGGTGGGTAGTTACATCCTAGGTTTGTATCTACACTGACAAGGTCAACCTTTACCTTAACTGAGCCTATCTGTCTTTTTTTTTTTTTAAATATATTTTACTGATCTTTTACAGAGAGGAAGGGAGAGAGACAGAGAGCCAGAAACATCGACGAGAGAGAAACATCAATCAGCCGCCTCCTGCACATCTCCTACCGGGGATGTGCCCGCAACCCAGGTAC